CCCCCCCCCCCCCCCCCCCCACACACACTTATATCTCTCCGTGACGGCTCTGATAACCGAGCCCTGCTGCTCTTGGTGAAACTGACCGACATAACAGGGAGGAAATCCTCTACGAACCCTCCCAAGGCCCCTCATTCCTCTCCTTCATGGTTTTGCTGTCTAGCGAACGATACGAACGCCTCAGTGGGCGTGATTGCAGTCACCAACTTTATGTGAAGCTGTGGGGAGGTGGTTGATTGGGCTGGAGATTGATTGATTGAACCTCAAACTAACGGCCTCAGCACACTGGTGACAGTTCAGGGCTTAAGGCCATATGCATATGTTACACAAGGCAATTTTCCGGTAACTTGCAACAAAGTGAAAATTCTGAGCATGGCACACGGTTTACTCTGCTGACATGTTTCATCATATTTCTTCTCTAAAGAGCCGAGTATGTTGGAGCGATGCCAGTAGAAGGTATACTGAGTAAATATCAAGATTCTTGGCATTTCGTTCGATAGGTCGAATTAAATAGTAGATGGGTTTCGATATACTGTAGATAGAAATTAGCTCCGAAATCGCAGGGCCACTCCAGGTTCGAATCCAGCCAGAGGGCCTATACTTTTATTTTTCGCAGCTACTCCTTGTTAGGTCTAAAGGTGTATATCAGAAATTTACGTTCGAAAATTCCATCTACAAAAAATCCATCTTCTATAAGTTCTATCGAACATCTCGCCCAAAATTACGTTCGCACGATCGAGACTGGACGATCCGGAACCGCACTCAAATTCACCACGGCGTTTCCATTTGATTTGTTCACGTACAGGGTCACGGAGGGAGTATGGATACAAGGGGAAACCGTGTAAATTTAAAAACGGTTCCGAATTGGCGTTCTGTCCCGTAAAAACTTGAAGTACATAAACATTGTTACTGGACTTACCATTGTCGTTCTTGTTGATTAATTCATCATTTTCCAGATTCCATCAAGCTTGTATCACCGCTTGGCCGCTGGCGCTGTTTTGTTAATATTCACTAAGAACACTAACCTTCACCTTAATCAATTTCATGAAAAGAAAAGACAGTTTCAACTATTTTATTTACATTAAAATGTGATAATAAATGTTTACGAACTCTAAAGATCAGCCATGTTTTTGTCGAGGAGTCATATATTATTTATAAACTTGTCTCCCAAACAATAAGTCACCCGCGGCCAAACGAAACGCGCGAATTTTAAGCTGTCTTAATGTTAAGCCAGTTCTATAGACAGGCTTATAAAAAACTAATTTACTTTGTCACAGCCAGCTGCCAATTAGGTCTGTCCGTGACTATCGGATAGGGTAAATTTTATACGACGAATCCGTAACAAAACATAATTGAATTACAGTAATTAATGATGAAAATTCATCGAAGAATTATAAAAATATCCGTAAATCTTATATTCTTAATTTCAATGTAATTGTAACATCATAGGCTGGCATGCAGGTTGTATATTCTAACTATTCTTCACCGCTCTGCAATATGAGCCTACGAAAAACTGCCGCCCCATGAACGAAACAACGGAACAAGCGACATTAAAGCTAAGAAAAAATTGCATAGCGGTTATATTCTATTATTATATAAAGTATAATGCTTTATAGAGATTTCGAGCACTGATAAAACTGATAATCTTACATGTGAAATTATTTATAATATGTTATCGCATTTCAATTCGAGAATCCCCTTGTTACGTTTTCGTAGCGCTTTGCATTGTGGTTATAGAGTTATCACTGATAAAGATAGCGGCCTCGAATGAAAATATTGAATGTTTTCGCGAATATTTTGCTGTTGGCTATCGCGCACCTGGCCCTAGCTTTTAAAAAAAATTACAGAGGTCAGGACAAAAAATAAGCCATCTTGAATATCAGTGATACCACTATAACCACAATGCAAAGCGCTACGAAAATGTAATAAAAGGAATCTCGAATTACCGCTTTTCTGTAAAAATTATCGCTTTTCAAAGAATGTATTTTGTATTGTATTAAAACTTTATTTAAAGACACTAGCCCCGTCAACGGTGCGTTGGTTTCCACGGGGGGCGTCTACAATGTTAAAAATTACAAAAGATATAAGGGAAAAGAAGACTATTTACAAATTGGTGTGACCCCAGATGTTATGGTTAGACGGAGTTACAATTTATTTCAAATATATATAGTATTAGAGTTAAGTTTTAAATGGCTTTTGAACAGGTGCATTGATTCTGCCAGTTTCGTATCGATAGAGAGACTATTCCATAGCTTAGCCCCACTGTATTTAAAACTCTTTTTTAGGAATTCTCTTTTAGGCTTAGGAAGAGCCAAATCTGTATGACTATTTCTAAGATCATAATTTGTTTGCATATGATTGCGTCTTATCAAGGATTCTTTCAACGTAGGTCCTACGTAATCCTTCAAGACTTTAAACATTAATATTGCTTTGGTTGTACGTCGTCTTGTCTCTAAATTGTCCCAAGCAAGAGATTGAAGAACATCAGCAGATCTAATCTCATAACTTGCACCGACAATGATTCGGGCTGCGCGATTTTGAAATTTTTGGAGTTTATTTTTCAAATTTTGATCACAGACGCCCCAAATGGGAGAACAATAATCAAAATACGGCTGAATCAGAGCTCGATAAATTGTTTGAAGGGTGGTTATTGGAACAAAGGGTTTAATACGTCTCAAAGTACCCAGGGCTGCTCCAACCTTTTTGCAAATCGCCAGAATATGTGAATTCCAGTTAAGATTTTCATCTAAATCGAGACCAAGACATGTGAAAGAGTGAACTCTGGGGATGCGTTGGTTATTTAACATCACTGGATGATCAAAAGTTGTGGACTTAATATGATGTTTAGAGCCAATGAACATTATTTTGGTCTTAGTTGGGTGGTGTTGTAATTTATTTCTAGAAAGCCAATCACCGATTCTACTCAGATCGTGATTAAGGTTTTCGGTTAGTTCAATCAAACCGTTAGAGCTGCAGCAAATTTGGGTATCGTCAGCATATAAATAAGGAGTAGTTTTTTGAATGCATTCGGGGAGGTCATTGATATAGAGTAAAAATAACAGTGGACCTAAAATAGATCCCTGCGGAACCCCAGAAACAATCCGTTTTGACGATGACATTGAATTATTAACAATACAGACTTGCTCCCTATTATTTAAGTAAGACTCAAACCATCTTAACTCAATATCCGATATACCGAATTGATCTTTTAATTTGTGAAGCAGAATATTATGATCAATTGAGTCGAAGGCTTTACGAATGTCAAGAAAAACAATGCCGCTCAATTGACCATTATCCATATTTTCATAAAGAGTATCGCACACCTGAATTAGAGCGGTGAGAGTTTAATGTTTAGGCCGAAAACCATGTTGATGTTTTGAAAGAAGTGAATTGTCATTAAGAAATTTATAAATTTGATTAAAAACGCATCTCTCAAGTATTTTACTAACAATGGGTAGTATCGAGATAGGGCGATAATTCTCGCATTTCAACCTGTCATCAGATTTATAAATGGGTGTAACCCAGGCTTTTTTCCATTCATCCACATATTCTCCTTTTTTGATTGAAAGGTTAAATATCCAAGTTAATGGCGGACCAACAATGTCCGCGGATATTTTAAGAGCTTTAGCAGGGATTTTATCTAATCCTGTGGATTTTGAAATTTTGAGACTACGCAATTGATATATTACTTCGTCCTCGTTAATTTCAGAAAATTTGAAAAAAAGATTGGAGTCGGTAGTAGGCCTAGAATCTCCGCGAGCAAAAGAATTTGTGTTGAGGGAATTATCTTCAATTTCAGCTGCAAGTTTTGCCCCGATATCGACAAAGAAATCATTAAAAGCCTCAGATTTCAATTTGTCGTCTGAAATGACAGAATTATCCGTTTTAAGTTGGGATATCGTGTTTGATTTCACATTTTTACCCATGCAGTGGTTAATTAAATTCCAACTTTGCTTTATGTCTTTGGACTGAGCACAATCTTCTATTTTATTGCAGAAATAGTTTCTTTTAGCTTTAATTAGTTCAGCATTAACTTTGTTTCGTAATTCCTTATATTTTGTCCAATGACTTTGAGAATTATGTCTAACCGCTTTTATTTTGTGGAAGTCTCTTGATTTCATTATACCCTTGATGTCTGAAGAAATCCAAGGGAGAGAATTTCCACGAGTTCTCATACGTCTAAGGGAAGCGTGTCGATCAAGGACCTGGAGGTATAGTGATTTCCATACCTGCCAGCATACATTAGAATTGTCATGTTGGGCAATGTTCTCCCACGGCATCTGTGAAAGATCCGTAAGAAAATCATTGGAATTGAAATTTTTAAAGTTACGAATATGTTTAACCTTTTCCCGTGATTTGGGAATACAATGTTTTCTAATAGCGAAAATCATACTGTGATCAGAAAGTCCAAGGTGTATGACACCAGACTTTGAAATATTTTCCTCTTTATTTGTCAGAATTAGATCAATTAGAGTTGCTGATGTTCCAGTAATCCTTGTGGGTTCATCAATAAGCTGATCGAACTGATAAAGTGATGAAAGGAACTGTAGCTTGCGAGTATAAGACTCACAAGGAGATTTCAAGATATCACAGTTCAAATCACCCATAATTATTACCTCTCTATTTTCTATATCGCTATTTCTTAAAAAAAGCCTCATATTCATCAAAAAGAGCAGATTGCGAGTTAGGAGCTCTATACCAAGTGCTTACTAAAAATGACTTATTGTGAGGTTTACTAATTTCAATGCATATCATTTCTAGTGAGTCAGTTACTAAGTCATTTCGTTCAGAAAACGGTATAGAGTCACGAACATACAATAGTACTCCCCCACCAGATCTAGATCGGTCATGGCGAATGTAAAAGTAACCAGCGATTGCTATTTCACTGTCAGGCACCAAATGGTTTAATTTTGTCTCGTTTATAGCAAGAATATCAACTGGCATGTTTTGCATGATCAAGCGAAGCTGATCAATGTTTTTCAACAGGCTGTTAATATTCAAGCACGCTAATCGTAAGCCTTTAGAAGACTCTAACTCATTAAATAAATTGTTAAAGTTACCTTGTATGGGGTCACACCGATTACCTATTTGGTTCGTTGTCTCCGAGAAGAGTACTGTCCGATACATTGAGTCCGATATTATTTCCTTCTGCGGGTGCGGGTGCCCTTGTCTGGAGGGACAATTATCTTTAACAGTTCTCCAAGTTTCAGAATTGCCGATCGCTGAAAATCCTCGTAGTTTTGCCTTCGTTTACTTGGAGAGGTTGATGCACTGCCCCCCTTGAGAAATTTGATAAAATGGACTGCTAGAATAGCCGAGCCCTTCGCATTTAGATGAAGCTTACTTCCATTTAGGCATGTGTCATCTATAGTCGTATTGTAAGGCATGTGTCATCTATAGGCATGTGTCATCTATAGTCGTATTGTCGTGTATATAATAAACAGAATAAACATGTGTCATCTATTAGGCATGTGTCATCTATAGTCATATTGTCGTGTATATAATAAACAGAAAAATACATGGATGCCTTGGAAATACCAGATTTATTGGCCAGAAGAGAGCGCGGGGGTTAAAAGGGGGCATCGTGGACATTTGGAGATAGTAGCGAATCACCTACCCAGCCCGTGACTGCCCGCAAGCCAAACTTATAAAAAGAAAGCAAACTCATAGAAAGAAAACAAACTACAATGCCTCTGCGAAGGAGAGTGTCACTCGTTCGTTGCGCTCACTCTTGAGATATCATGCATATTCAACACTCGAAATAAATCTGGTATCTCCGCGCACCCATGTATTATTCTCTATTTAATTTATTCAGATCATGCTAGGGCTTGTTGTACGAAAGACGGAATAAAAATAATTGAAACTCTAAAAGACTACAGAATTATGAAGCTTGCAATTAATTAAAATTTTAAAAAATTTTGATTTATAAATACTGAAAGTTTAAGTATAACATTTGAAATCCGACTATGATGACCGGACTAGATTTCAAGTCTGCGCAATTTTATCAAGTCCGAGGGGAATTAGCCGAGGACTGGATTTGCGAAGTCTTGAAATCTAGTCCAGTCCGAATTGAATGGGAGGATTTGAAATGACAAGATTGACATCTCACAAGCGAGGTGAATTAATTTTGATCCATATTCCAAGGACTGAATTAATTTTTATCCAGTCTTATAGCACTGGATCAATATACTTCACCAGGGATCCAGTATTGTCATGTAAGCAAAATAAAGCAATAGGGTTGGCTAATTTACTTATGAATTATTAATGAGTTGGAGATTGTAGGTTACCAATCACCGGTCAAAGTGAAAATTATGTTTGAGAAAATCATTATCCGGTGGATAGCGCTGTCCAAATCCAACGCTGGATCCCATCAACCTCGCGAGCCAGGCATAGCGGGAGGAGTAGACAATAGTACATGCAACTAGAACAAGGCTCGATCAGGGACGTGCTGCACATGAGATCTTGAAAAAGACGACGAATGAGCAACGTCCGATGGGGCCCAGACCCAGTGACGGATGGATAAAGATTGAAGTGTGGGGGGAGAGTAAAAAAATTTCAGAACATACCATTTTTCAGTAACTTTCAAATTAATTTACCGTTAATTTGTTGAATTTTTCGGTAATATTTTTGTAAATTTAGATTTTTGTCATAAATTTTATATATCTTAATCTTGATTTTCAAAATTAAAATCAATAATTTTTAACTTTTCCAGTGTTTTAATTTTAGGGGCCCATGATGGCAGGGATCCACAACAAGTTCTCGTCGCCTCGTCCCTGGGCTCGATGCAAAGTGGAATTTTTTGTGTAATTATGTTGAATTTAGCAGGAACATTCATCCAATTTCTGATCTTTATTCGTCACAACTAAAAACGTACATCTCACTGAATGGAATTAATCATTTAGATTATGTTATACGTTTTTACATTTAGAATGTTGTATCAGGCCGTTCGCTCAACCATTTCTTTATTCCAGGGTTGCTTGAAACTGTGCTAGTCAGATCTTTTAGTGCGGGATAGTTATCCAATATTGGTGAAGCTGAAGGACCTTTGTTCAGGTTTTCAAACATTTCAATATATGAGAAGAATATTATATCTGCATACGTCAGCTGTTAAAAGTAAAAAACATTTTAAACATTTTCAGAGGTCTAGCGCTTGTTTAATTAGCAGTGCTTAAGGTTACTGGACACGTCTCAGCCATTCAAGATTCTCACTGAATGAATGTCCAGTTTATCACGCTGTCTAGTGTCGCAGCGATCGGGGGAGGGTAGAATTTGTAACACTTCCCCTAAGTAACGTAAGTAACTCTAGGTATAAAGTTGCTGATGAGTTATAAGCAAATTTTAGGTATAAAGTTGCAGGTGGGTTATAAGCAAATTTTCAGGAAAGTTGTTGAGCATTGGCAGACGTGGAAGTAAAAGTGAACGCAAGCTACGAATGTCAAATGCCCCCTGGTGGATTTAGTCCCGTATCTACTTGTGCTAATACATGTAATATAGGGTTAGGTTAAAATGCGGAAGTGGATATGCGGAACGGAACGGGTGGGGTTAAAATGCGGAACGGATATGGGGTTAAAATGCGGAACGGAACGGATTCCGTTCCGCATTTTGACCCCATCCGTTCCGTTCGGTTCCGCATCCGTTCCGCATCCGCTTCCGCATTTTAACCTAGCCCATGTAATGTATGGTCTGACTCTTCCACAGTCCCTAATGTTGTTTATTCATGCAAGGATTCATGGGAATGCGATGAAAATTGAGTAAAACGCAAAGGACCATGGGAATGCCCCGAGGCGTTGATTTTTGGTTGTAATAGAAAAACCTGGTACTTGACCGTATTCCGCATGAAAAAATACACTATATTTCAACAACTGCTTTTAGGTTATGCAAAACGTAACTTAAAAGTCAGATAATTTGCTGACCAAAATAAGTGTGCCACAACAGCTTTTTGTAGCATATTTTACAAGTCTCAGAGGCGTCAAGGTCATTAAGTTAAACTACTGTATTATTATGAGCTGATCATTGCAATGAATATATAATTAATTTAGATGAGTTCCGTTTTTTTGGGACACCCTGTATATTTTATAATTCAAAACTTCGTAGTTTGTCAGCTTGTTTTTGGATGGTTGGTCCGTCAGTTAGATGATGCTTCACACCCTTCCCGAAACGGCGAAAGTATACTCAGCCGTGGTTATAAAGCCTCGTTTTCGTGATTTGAGATATTGGGTTTAGAATTCTTTGTCTTGTAACAGATTGACGCCTTCTCTAAATCATACTGTTATATTAGAAAATTATATAATTATATGAGACCTTTATCCAACCAGAAGGGATATGACAAGGCCGAAAACGAGGCTGTATAGCCAGTCCTTTTGACAATGGGACCAGGTACGTAATAGCTATATAGCTATATATACCAAGTGACGGAGGATTGGCACAAGCTTGGCTTATCAATTCGGGCATATATGTTTTTCAAATTTACATAGTCATCTGTTGTGATTAGTTGTAATCAGATTAGATCTAATCAGAAATCCTCGCCCTCATCATACGTCATCTAGTAGTAAAATCGAGGAATACGATTCGGGCTCTGTGATTAGAAACAGCAGTGGTGAGGACATACAACTAACCTGGAAAATATGAGGAAAACTTCGACGTTTCGAGCGAAGGCCCTGACATAATAACATATATATTCAAACGAACAAAAGTCGTTTAAATATATAAATATCCAATGGAAGTTTATTATAAAGGAATCAAATCTAACAGAAAAACCTCAAAATGGTTATATTTAGTCCGAGACACTGTCATCGTTCAAGATAACACGCTTTTTTTGCCAGTTCTGAAATCGGACTTACGATAGTAAAATTCACTTTCACTAGTACTGCGCTATTCATCGCCTTTAGACATTTTAATGTTTTAAAAAGTAGCCTTTAAACTCGTCTTTAAATTTTTAAAAATAAAAACCTTCAGTTGGCTCTACGGCTTTAAATCTCGCGCGGTCCGTACGGGCTCATACGGACCGCTCGCGTAGCCAATCAGATTGCAGAAAAGCGTAAAATATGATTTCGGAACGCAAGAAAAAAAAAACACACCATATTTTATCGGTTCTATGAAACGGACCAAGGGAGCATAGTATGGCATATGAAAAACCTCATTTACCTTATTGTCTGCAAAATATTTTCCACCACGAGACTTCAGAAGTTTCTCAAATATTCCTAGAGCATGTGGAAGATGGTTCTCGTAGAATTCTTTAAATAGTTTTTGCTACAAAATAGACACAAAATTATGTGGTGACATTGGAAAGGAAAATAATATACAACTACAATATTTAACTACCGTAACCTTTATGTTTCCTCCAGTTGCTGCATTGATTTGATGCAATATGGGCGCAAATGCTGCATAAAGAATTAAGTATTTCAAGGCAAGTCGTCTTACGAGGAAAACCCTTGTTTCTTCATTAAAAGCCACATGTAATCAGTTGAGTAAAAGCTCCTTCACGCTCGTGGTTTTTGTTGTGTTTTCGTCATGCGTATTACCAAGATACTAGATACAATAAAGCTGCTTTCCAATCAAGAGTTTTTGTATCTGCGCTAGCGCAGATATATTGCTATCGTTTTGTTAAGTTAGCTGTTCACTGTGAGCTTGTAGCCAATCAGCGACTCAGAAAATTACGTCATTATTTAATTAAGAATACGTCATCTATTTGCAATTCAACATGGAATAACAACAGGTGGGGCGCAAAAACTGCTCGGGTTTTCAGCGGGAGAGGAAGATATGCGTAATGCGTGCTTCCACTTGCTTGATTTAAAAACATAATTACATAAACAACTTGATTACTTGAACGAAGCCTTCAAAAGACAATTTTGCAGCGGCTGTTTAGGGCCACAAAATCAGTGGCCACAAATCATCACAAACATTGGATTAGCTGACAAATAATGTTGCAGTAATACTTTGATTTCCTCTATTGCCATATTTTTTACAATGCATGTAAACTATAAATATCGATTGTTTCACTGCAAAACAACACAGAGCCAAAAATTTCCTTTTCAAATGCCGTCTGATAGCTTCAATAAAATGTGAAATTCAAAATCAAAACCAAAATACTAACACTTCTGATTTTTTAAAACCAAGAAATTTAAAACCGACTTAAAATGCTTTGAAACTTAATGTAAAACAGCGATATTTCGTTGGCACAACCCTGGCCTGGTACAATCTGTAACATGACAAAATTCGTGTTTATAGAATTTTGAACGAGCGAAAATTGTGTTTAAAAGTAATACAAAGTTTACACTTCGAAATTAGGGTCAGAGAATTGAGAGTTGCTATATGTTTATCTGTTTTTTTAAATACTTTGAAAACATACTTTGAAAACATAATATTTTAAAACTATTATAGCAAAGTACAGGGCAACATGTTTATTCTGATGCTCATTTTCTGAGTCGCCTTTTATGTACAAATTACACTTGCACAATGTGTCAATGTCAATGCACATGAAATTTCTCAAAATTCTGTCAGTACTTTCTTCATTTTTCAAACTACTAGCAAAAAATAGAAAGAAAAGTACATCTTCTCATATTTTATTGGTACAACCTGTATACATGAGAAAATTACGGTGAAAAAGCAAAATACCTCACATACTAAAATTTGACCATGATCGTTGGCGCACAGTATCACTCAAAAACCATATTATACAATTACTTTATGGTTTCCGTGTTTGGATGGCCTGATCCAAACACGCGGGAATGTTGCGAGAGTTAAGAAAAGCGAGCGAAATCACGAGCCGAAGGCGAGTGATTTTGCCCGCTTTTCTTAACTCGAGCAACATTCCCAAGTGTTTGGATCAGTCCATCCAAACACGGAAACCATAAAGTAATTGTTTTATAAAATAACAACAACACGGTAGTCTTCCGTGTTTGGATGGCCTGATCCAAACACGGCTTTCGACCAATCAGAATACGCGTTATATACATGTTATTTTATAAATTTATTTTCTGTTCTGGACAACAAACGCATGTATTGAAAATCTCTGCAGTAAGTTCGTCAAAAATATAATAAAGAGTTTTACTACAAAACAAACCAGTTTGATTTATCACTTTCCATACCTACAAGGAACATTACCTTTGTCTCTTCATTTTTTTCACGATAATATTTTACTAATTTGTCCATCAGATCATCGAGACCGTCCACGATCATGTCAGCTTTTGCGACTTCAAAACTTTCTGTCGGAGCAAACCCTTGTTGAATAATAAACAGATAGTAGTATAATGTGTATAATTTACACACGGCATATCTTTCTGCATAAAATTCCTTCAACATTTAGTTCCATTGGATCAGATGCCCAAAGTTCTGATAAAAACACTTTATTAATAACCTAACGTCGTTTAACTGAAGAGAAATCTCCATTTCACTGACTGTGCAATGAAATCTTTCATTCGTGACGCCCAGACGTGAATTCTAAAGTTTGTATTCCATTACACGGTTTAATTTATACGTAAGTACGGCAAGAGTTTTCTAATCATCCTCACTTGCAGCTGAGAGCTGAACTGAGTTACGAGGAAGCAGCTTCAACAACTCAACGTAATCGAGTCGAAGACAGGGGCGGCCCTATAGAGAGGGTGTGGACTCATGAACGAGTGGGCAAATTGTTGCATTCATTCGGCAAAACTAATTGAGCTGTTTGGATATAGATCAAATCATCGAATTGAATTATTTGAATTAAAACCAAACGTGAATTTATTTATATCTTGAATTCTTGAAAATGTGCTCTATCGCGAGTCGTAGAGGTTAATTTAAAAATTTAAAACAACAAAGCAGCCTAATATACAAAAATGCAGACGTAGGAGTTGGTTTTTGACAGCGATCATGGCTGAAAACAGTTGCTGTTTGTGGTTAGGATCAGTTCCAATCTTTGATGTAGCCACTTCAAATCTTCCCATAATGCAGGAAATTCAATTTCGGAGACCTCTTGATTTCAAAGACCCCCCAAGAACTCTTCGTACTAGTTAAATAAAGTCGACAGATCTGACAGCTTTTGTTGTTAAAGTGGAGACTTTTGCGTAGTTCACGTAAGTGTAATGCTAACCAAAGTTTGGTAAATGTGCACGTGTACATAGGCTAATACAGATCAAGCTAACGACTCAGCCAAACTATACCTCACCCCCCCCCTTGAAGGAGCACTATCGCCGCCTCTGGTCGAATACTTAATAAGAGAGCCTCGGACCTGCCACCGTATGACTCACGTCTGATCACAGAGCACAGCTGAGATGGAAGAGCTGATCAGTTTGGGATATTTCCGAACCCACCCTGACAATGTAAGTGCAAGTGATAAACCAGGAGCCGCCAGCACAGCGTACGCAACAACGCCATATAAACAAAATATATAACGTTTAGTAAAAACATTCCAACGCTTCATCTTTAGCGCCAAGACAGCTAGGGATACCCAGTTCAGATCGAAACTATCCTATTTCAGACCAAAACTGTAAAATCTCCAAAACAAGCCAAAAACGTTTTGGGACGGCATATACCTATATATTGAAGGAATTTGTGATGGAAATTTTAAGTGGAATTCTTATACATTTATTAGACCTAACCACAAGACTATCGACCCTCTGGCAGGAATTGAAAACCGGCGGCCCTGTGATTCCGGTGCAGCGCTCTAAGCAACAGAGGAAGTGAGTGAGCTCTAACCACAAGTTCATGTATAAATACTAAGGTGATACCAATGTACGGTATATATACCTACAATATATACCTGTATACAGCGTACATACGGGAGCACCCCATGCATGCATGCATGGAAAATAAACTAGTAACTCATACCGACCTGTTTCCCTCGCAACATACTTGCAAATGGTCGCTGATTTTGCAAGTATTTTGCCATCAACGTCAAGAATTGGCAACTGGTCAAATGGTACAATTCCACCTAGAAAATTGCGTAGCAGTGTGTATTTACAAGAACCATAATAAAAAACATGAGGACTATCATACAATTTTCCAACTTCCTATTTTTACAAATTTTATGTTGTTAACAAAAGAACGGGGAGTTCCCCAGTTCCTACATTCCTAAGATTATTTTTCTTATCTATCATTCTATGTATATTTACGTAACCTCAAATAACCCCTATTTATAGAGGAACAGCTAGAATGATTTATTAATTTAAGTCATATATATTTGTATTATTGCAAGGTATAAGATAACTGCATTTATTACTTACTGCAGTTCACCTACGTATATCGACTGCTGGGTGCTGCAATCTGCTGATACAGTCAAACGTAGTCCTAGACCTAAACCTATTACTCGGCTGGCTTTCGCAAGTTTGGTTAATTTTCGGCTAGCAAGGTATCTCTTTCTTTCTCCACCCTCCCCCAAATCGCCTTGGTTCTCTCATGTGAAATAACGCTGAAATTAAAGATAGATTGCCTAGGTTTAGGCCGGAGGAAACACGTTTGATTATCAGCGTTTTCAATTAGAAGCATGCACGTTTTCTTCCAGAAGAACATTTTGGGTTCAGGAAGGAAATAGTTGGAGAGTCGCAAGAAACGGTTAGAAAATGAAGTTTCCCAATCGTTCCTTCTTTTACACATGGCAAGATAGCCCCAATTATTATGCAACTTAGAATTGTGCATTACGAGAATCAATGCAGAGAAGGTAAATTTTAAAGTATAAATGCAGGTTATGTCTTCTCCTTTCTCATAACCTTGTCCTTTCCAACCTAGTGCCCAGGCCTGTGCTACATTGCTCTTCCAGTGTCTGAGCTAAGCCTGTCAATCACAGAATATGGACTATAAATATGATTATCAAATGTTATCCTTTCTATGAGGCGCCAAATATGACAAAATAGATCATAGTTGTGTGATATACATTACTGCAAATATATACAGTATAACTCGTGATGAACAGGTTACTCTTCCAAATATTTCAATATTGTACATCACAAATCATGGTTTATATCACAACTCGTTATATAGATTACATTTCAGCTCGTGATATAGGTTACAAATCATGGTTTATATGTTATATCACAACTCGTGATATAGATCACAATCCACAATGCAGCTCGTGATATAGGTTACAATTTCGCGTGCGGAATTACTTCATCTTATGACCCATATAGTGGACGGAATAGATAAACTAGCCATTTTATATTCGAGAATGTTTCAAATTTTAAAATGTTTTCAGGGTTTCAAAATGGCGCCATGAATGGACTTTTCCCCTTATAACTAAAATTTTGATCTAGCCAAAAATAGTAATATTCCAAAGTTTCGTTGCGAAATGTTGTAAAATGCGGATAATATAGCCTTGCAAAATTTGCAATTTTCGTCAGTCATTTTGTATTAGAAACGGGAAATTGATGCCCCAACACCCAATTGGGCTGTCAATTTCCCGTGTGTAATACAAAATGACTGCAAAACTGCAAACTTCGCAATATTACTAATTTTGTGACGCTCTTTCAACCTGTGATGAATTTTTTCTCTAGATTAAAATTTTAGTTATAAGGGGAAACGTCCATACAAGCCCAGAAATAAACACCGAAGCTTTCTTGAAAAATATTCCAAATCAATTACAGAGGCACGTCGTCAATTATTTTGTGACAATATCAATGTTGTTGAGTTTATCCAGCGACGCCTAGAAGACAATTTATTTGTTGTAAATATACTTCTCCAGCGTGCAATAGAACGCATTGACGATCGACAAATTCAGAATGATCTTGGTATTTTGGTGCCTGAATTGCAATCATTGTGCAATAGTTACGACGCGCTTTGGATCAGAAATGAGAACTTGGCTAACCCACTGAGTTTTACTTGTCCATTAGAGGAAATTGTTCATAAAGGAAGAAGACGATACAGTTTTCCACAGAATGCTTTGACCAACTTACATGGGATACACCGCAGCTGATGGTCTCAAGTTGCTGTGGAAATTAGAGTGAGCTACCAAACTATATTACGACGACGCCACGAGTACCGCTTACCAGTCAGCAACACAAGTGGGCCACGAAACACGTTTACTGAAATTACCCATACTGATTCGTGTAATGTTGTTCGAGAGGTTCTCCAGATTTTACCTAACGCTGGTGAAACGTTTGTGTTGTGCGCCCTAAGGCAACGAAATATTCATATTCAACGATGGAAAGTGAGAATGCAATTTGCAGTGTAGACCCTTTAAGTCGTGCTTTGAGGCGAAGTCACAGAATAAGGCACACAGAAGGGCCACTTACGTCGGAACCCTGGCCGCCATCTTCCTAGCCAGTCAATTGCATATTTTTTCATAGAAAAATGGGGACACGTTGCACCGCTGAGCGGCCCTTCTGGTACTGATCTTTATTCTGTGGCGAAGTGTTGCCATTCTACGCCGTGTTTATAATGTTCCATGCCCTAATGCATTGTGGCAACTTTTGTGTACACTACCACAGAGTAGAGACATACAGACAGTTATAACTACTGTGCCCATTTGTTTGTGCGCATGCTCGGCAAGTTACTAGATGCATGCATCCAATTGCATGACGACCCTCTTTAACTGCTCGCGGAACTTGCACAGTTGATCATTTTTTGCCCGGTCACCTGAAAAAAGTGGGTACATGAAAACGTAAGCTTCCGCAGTGTTTACGACGGTCAGTTACAGCTCAAAATCGAAGCGAAGGCGCGAAGCATCAACAATGAATATGTCGTCCAATTAATGGTCCAATGTAATGTCCCCACCCCCAGAATATAAAATAGCCCTCCGTCAACTATACGAGTCGTACGATGAAGTAATTCCGAACGCGAAATTGTAAACTATATCACGAGCTACATTGTGGATTGTGATCTATATCACGAGTTGTGATATAAACCATGATTTGTAACCTATATCATGCGCTTTCAATATTTAAATATTTGGAAGAGTAACCTATTCATCACGAGTTATACTGTATATATTTGCAGTAATATATATCACACAACTATTCATGATCTATTTTGTCATATTTGGCGCCAAATACCTTTCCTATAGAAACCATAGGCCTGCGGTAATGCTATACTAACTGCATATGTGAATAAAATATTAACATTCAAAATATAGTTGAAGGGTTTTAAAACACCCCGTAATTATGAATTACATAACTTACTGGCTTTTAATTCCTTAAATTCTTCTCCAGTCACTCTACAGTCCTCATATTTAACCCCGGCCGCTGCAAACGCCAGGCGAATCATCTCACCTCGTCCTCTGGCATCGAAGTATATCAACTTATATACAGGCATGATCGTATCAGTATAAATAGGTGAGATGATTATGTTTAATCCTCGAAGCTGAGCTACTAACTTTACGAAACGCTAGTTTGTTGGAGCGAACACAAACCGGTCAAGTGTAACCTAATGCTGTTTTTAAATTCGATATCGCCTAATATGGAGTTAACATAATTAATTCAATTGCGATTTTGCATACGACAGGATGCCATCAAGCTGCTCCTTTTACTGGTCAGAGTACTCCGGATTTTCAGAACACTGATGAAATGGAACAGAATTAAGACAGTCGCATGACTGTTCTGAACTGTTCTGACTACCCCGATTTTCGAGTACACACGTAAAAACGCACAAGTTGTTACAAGTTTGCAAACAAATTGTTACAAATCTGTTCCCAAGCTGTCAACAAGTTGTCTTCGCACTGCTTGTTCCCAGTTATTGTAATATGTTTGGAACAAGCTGTTAACAACTTGTACATGTAACAAGCTTGATCGATGGCATTATCAGACTTGTCACAAGGTTGTTCTAACAAGTCTGATACAGCAGGGTTTATTTTAAGAAAAGTTTAGAACTGCCCATATTAGGGATGGGAATCATGAATACTGAATATATAATAACCTTAGTAATATCATGATTGCGGGTATTCCCTTTGTTCTCGCAGGGCAATTAATAACTAATACACCTCATTATATTCATTTTTTTAATCCTACCCGCTTTTACGTCATGTCAGGTAGAATTAGTTGTAATCCTACCCGAAACGACGTCAAAGCGGGTACGATTAGAAAAAATGAATACATCTGAAATCGCCAAAACTAAACAATGACATGGAAAACAATTATACCATTTAATTTATACCATTATTTATTGTTAATTGTTTTTTAATGGCCCTGCGAGAACAACGGGAATACCCGCAATCATGATATTACAAGGTAATAGCATAGAAAGAGGCGAATTAGCTATTGAAAACGTCCCGCCCGATGAGGGTCGTTTAGTAAAATTCTCTTGGGAATTTTACTAAATGACCCTCATCGTGCGGCGCCCAAGGGAATTTTACTAAGGCCACTCCAAATTAGACTTTAGTTTCCCGTCCTCCGCCCGCGTCACCTAGAACTGGCCGCATGATTTGTCCATTATTGCGAAGTTGTTTCCATTATTTGACTTTTGTGACAAACAATTACGAAAAACCACAGTTTTCAAATAATCTATACATATTTATGATACAACACTTCTCACACATCATTAGATATTCATAGCATTTCGGCCAATGACATGGTGTAATTTACATCACGTGTATCTATCTGGATACCCCGTCTAGACCAGGACTTTAATTACTTCAAGTGGGAAGGGCTTTGAACAATAGGGAAATTGAGGGGTAAACAAAAGATTATGCAAATATATTTAATTGCTATGTTTAGAATTATTTCTAAATCGTAAGTACTAAAGTAAGGAACGACCTACAACGACCTACAACCACCTACAACCACCTACAACGATCTACAACCACCTACAACCACCTACAACGAGCCTACAACGATCTACAACCACCTACAACGAGCCTACAACTATCTACAACGACCCTACAACGATCTACAAAGATCTACCACGGCCCTGCAACGACCTACAACGTCCCTACAATGATTTACATAGCGACCCTACAACGACTTACAACGACCTATGTTGAACGTCGCGATGCATGGCGATCATAACCTAAGTATCATGTTCTATTTTACAAACTTGTAATAGCCTGAGCAAAGTTTATATTCAAACTGTCGCAGGAGAAATTTAAATTTCACACAACGACAACAACAATCTAAGTAGTAAAATATACCAACAAGAATAGTATAATCTAGATATCTAGATAGATAGATAGATAGATAGATAGATAGATAGTTTATTTAAAAAAAATTACATAGTAGCCACCGGCTGAATTGCGTAATTTGAATATTACATGTGTTGGAAATGTCAAAAGTTAAACTATGTAATGATTAATATATATTACAATAAGAATACTCAAACTAGGAACTAAAAAAAGTTAAAATTAGGTCTTAGAGTTGTAAGTTAAATGTTAAAATTACGTCTTTAAAAACTTTTTCGCAAACATTGCTGGGATGAAGGAGTGTCTGCATCTGTCCGTGTGAATTCGTGGAAGATCATACTCATGGTACTTACGAAGATTTAGATTGGGGCCATGTCTTGGCGGTAAAAGACTGAAGAGTTTGTGCGAGGGTACTGAGATTCTTTCAAACTGGTTATCGCAGAGTTCCTGACGTCTGTTATGTAAGGTGGTTAAACCGCCGATTGGCCCATATTAGCATCATAGGTTTTACTTGGGTCAATGATTGAAAACGCTCTCTTTTGTACTCTGTCAATATCAGCACTCAGGTACTGGGGCAATGCGCACCAACCAATCAAATGACAGATTAAAAAATCTTTTTTCTCATAGACAAATCAGATTTACAATCGAAATACGTTTCAGGCCTATTTATTTATTTTTAATGCATATTTTCATTGTTTTTTTGAACAGGTTCTTATTTTTAATAAGCGACTACAACGGTCAGTAGCAATTCATTATTGCGGTCAATCAAGTGGAACTGGAGGTCATTATTCTTAAAATAATAACCTCCTTTTCTGCCTCAATGACCCTAATAATAACCTGCTGTTCTATCTCACTGAGATAGAACAAAAAACAATGAAAATATGCATTAAATTGGATAATGCACGAACTCCTCGCTCTGTCATTATTTTTAAGAAGGCCTCGGAGCTCATGCATTATCCTATATATAGGCACAGAATAAAGACATACAGAAGTGTAACTTCCATTACAAAACCGTAAGGCGCTTTTTTACCGAAATAGCTGGCGGCCATGTTCCTGGCAAGTGAGAAGCATTCACCCCCATGGAATATTAAATTTTCAATATGTTTTCAGGGGGGTGACTGCCTCTCTTTAGGGCACTTGCTAAGAACATGGCGGACTGAAAAAATCCCACTAGCGGCTAAATCGAGGAATGCACATTTGCCCGACGCCATCTTGAATTCCGCGCAATGACCTGGGTCTCAGTTATGATGTCATAGTATCTATCATGAATGATGTAATGAAAACAAACGTATTCGCGGAAAATGAAAATATTGGATTCTGATTGGATAATTGTCGCTCGCACATGCCCAAATACTGGATTGTTATGTATATAAATAAAGCTAGTTTACAGCAGCAAAAATCACGATAAATACACTTTTGATGCTTTTAAATCATAAATAATCCTATTATAATGACTTATTTTAGCTTTTGATTTCATATAAAGGAAAATAAACCGATCGAAAATACAAAATAACAGCATTTCGCGTATCGACATTTTTCACAGTGATTTGTATGCATTAATTGACACTTAGTCTCTGGCACGCAAATTTACTTTCGTATAGTGAGCACATAGTTGTGTGCACAATAGATGGAAATTCCGAAAATACCTTTCGATTGTGCATGAAATTCTGTATCAACAGCCCTAGTTTTCCTTTTTCATTCAAAAATTGAACCAAGATATTCGCCCTTTAATACTCTAAAACTCGAGTCTTTACCCTACTATAGGAATTTGTGTACTATAGAGTAGATGGAAAATCGGAGAACACCATTGAATTCGCCATAAAAATCAGCATCTTTTCATAGTAAATATCTCTAGTCAATTTAATAGAGAAAACTTTTTATTGCGTGTTTACCACCCAGCTGACAATAGAAATAAGCTACGGATGTAGACAAGGGATACAGTAGCACTTTAATGGATATCATAACCATTTTACTAATTCATTATTAGCATAAGATAACGAAGATAACCACGGATGTCCCCAGTTAATAATGATTCAAGATGGCGTCGGGCAAATGTGCATTCCTCGATTTAGCCGCATGTTGTCCACATAAAATTCACCATTTCCAAAACAATAAAGTTCATGACCAATTTCTCATGTGTTAACTTATGGTATAATTCACCGATCTCTATCAGAAATTCCCATTTGAAAGGTGTTGTCACGACTGTATTCATGATTCATCTCAGTCGCACTCAGAAACGTCGTCAAAAATATAGACACGTTTCTTTACGATTGAGTTCATTTGACTGTAAAAGAGGTCCCCAACATTCTTGAACATGTGCTTTTGGTTAAAATACCATATTTGACTTGATTTGTTCCTCTATTGCGAGATAACAGAACAAAACAGTTGAAAATACCGTATTAATCACAATAGCTGGCAGGGAGTTTTTTTCTGGGATCATTATGTGCAAGTTTTTTTCTATCCCATCACCATGTATGATTTTTTTTCCACTCTCTTTCGCAGCATTTTTTTTCAATAGCTTATACTAATTTGGGTCATTCCAGAAAACATCCATACCACCCCCACAGAGGAAATAGGAAGTTAACCCCCCTACCCCCTTCAGATGTCCTAATACATTTACTATTATCAGAAACAATTTTTTCTCCCCTCCGGACGGCAGAAATTTCCTCCGTGTGGGGAGTATGGATCTTTTGTTGAGTTTTCTAGCTTCATGCATTGCTTTTAATAATACATATTGCTATGAGATATATAACATTTGGTTCAGGGCCTCTTTTAAGGCAGGGCCATAGGAAGCTCTTTTCGATTGGGGGGGGGGGCTGAAAGCGAGGGCCGAAGGCCCGAGGAAATTCTTAAATGTAAAGTCTCTGAAGTGCCATTTCCTGGACTTTGGGGAAGATTTGACAGAATTCTGATGGTCAGAAACCAGCGTTTTAGTATGTTGAAATTTACAATTTAGTAGTACTAAATGGACGAAGGCGTATTTAATGAACTATATATTGGATAAGTTGCAGGAAAATATGGGTAATATCTTCATCCTTTGCAGTTTGTCATGGATTAAATGATAAAGGTCTGCATGATTTTCAAAATGATTATTAGCAAAGGCCCTGTAGAGATGTGTAACTGGAAGGGACATATTTAGCGGGGGACCTGGAGAAGTTCCAGTCGGCAAGTATGTGTTGCTGCAGCTACTTGCAGCATAAGTATGCATAGTTTAACTAATAAGTATGCACCATAGGGCAGCAGATCAGGACATAGTGATACCTAGGATTCTGAGACAACCGAGTCGACTATCAAAGGTGGGTGCCTCTAGAAGGGTCAGTTTGTTAGTGCA